TCTTGCAGATGAAGCCTCAGGGCAGGGATCTTTCTCCTCAACCAGCAAGGAGACAGGAAAAGAGACACGGGACACTCAGAGTGTGGTTTTCAGGATGGGATCCGGATGAATACAGAACAGCCTGCCGTGAGGCACCTGTTCAGTGGGAGTTCTTCTTCTCTGATCCAGCCTCCCCTCAGTTTATTGTATCCCCTACCTTTGAACAAGTTAATCAATACAGAGGTAACTAATTTCTTGAATACACAACAGAATAACCAGAGTTAGAGACAGCTAATTTCCTTGAATACACAGGCATCAGTAAACAGAGTGGTTGGTAAACAGACAGGCTGGTAAACAGACAGTTAATAGTAAACAGGCACAGCTAACTTCAAATACACAGACAATGTAAACATTCCTCAGGTAGACACTTTAACTACATTACCCAGAGACAATAGACAGCAGGTTAATGATCATCCTTACTGGACATTAACCTTGCAGTTTAATTCCTTTGCTTTGTTCTGGAGCTCCTTCATCTTCTGCAGCTTCCTTCCTTCTTCCTCTCTCCTGCCGATCTCCTTCTTCTGCTGCTCATGTTTTCTCTCTCATGCACACACACTTTGTTGTTGCTGCTGCCTTTATACTGATCTTACTCATCTTGCTGCTGCCTTTATACTGATCTTACTCATTGGCATTCAGCGTTTCTCAAGGTTAATCAACTGATCAATCTCACCTGCCTGTCCTTCCCTCTTGTAACTTTACTGAGTAGAAATGCTCAATTGTAAAATATAACCCCAACAAAACTGTACAGGCAAAACTACCAATAACATTGCATAGGGCAAACGGATCCTTCTGATCTTTATTTCTCCACTATTTCTCAAGACCCCTCACCCTTTTCCAAGAGCTGCCTGATTTTATTGTCCCCTCTTCCCAAAAACCACACAAACACAAAACTTTTAAAAGCTTTTACTAATGATTCTCTGATGCATTTTATTCTTACTACTAAACAATGCTCAATAGTCAATATTTTCAATGGGCATAAAATAGGAGCGAGTGAGCAAGGAGAACAGATCATAAAAGAGAAGAGAGGGGAAGAATATTCAATTTGGGAGAAAAGCACATTCTTTGTGAATTGATTTTATTCTGAAGTGTTAGTTTTTCACAGACTCAAATAAAAAAAAAAACACCACATCATACCTGAGTCCCTTTTATGTACAAGAGAGTGGAAATTAGCACTACTTTCCCTGTTGAGTATTCAGATGTTGAACAATGTCACCTAGATAGACTATGCTTAGTTCGGCATCCTTTATGTACAGGAGACATCTTGGTGGCTGGACAACATAGAATCAGCCTATAGACTATAGCAGTGGTCCCCAACCTTAGGCCTCCAGATGTTCTTTAACTTGAACTCCCAGGAATCCTGGGCATCAGAGGTGATGGTGAAGGTTTCTGGGAGTTGTAGTCCAAGAACATCTGGAGTCCCAAGGTTGGGGACCACTGGACTATAGGATCTATAGACACCGCTTTCAGGCTGGAGACTGAAGAGCAGATCACCGTAAATAAAACTGCTTCTTATAGATGAAAAAGATGAAGCTCTTCAAAAGTGTTGAGCTTGGAAAATCTCTGAGAAAGCAGGAAGTCAGAATAGTCAGGGAGAGATCGGGGGGGTGGGGAGTCAGACAAAGAAAAAGGAAAGTAGGGAGCACAGAAAATTAGCCTGCAACAGGGTCAAAGACAAAAGAGGAAATATAAATTCAGAGAATCTCACAATATTCAACTTTTTCTCACCCCTTTTCCTTTGTTGTATATATATATATATATTTTCCTTGTTCCTTGGGATAGCCGGCTCGCTGTGCCATTCTGTCACAAAAAGGTGACTACTAGATCTTTTGTATCCCAAGAAGAACAATACCGTAGTATATATTAAACAGCAGAGGACCTCACAAGACAGATGAATAAAGGCAAAATGAATATACTTTATTACCTACTGGTTACAATTCTAATAAAAGGGGTTTCAGGCATTCAGTACATTCACACCACATACTTACTCACCAAAGAGAGAAGAATACTTTATTTGTATCGTCCAAGTTCCAAAGAAACTAGTTGGTCCCAAAAGCCTTTTCGTCTCAGCAAAGCCTTTTATATTATTTTTGGGCAAGTTGCTAGCTGAGCATACACATTAGATGTTTCTTTGTTTTCCCCTAGATATATATCAGCATATTTCCCCCACCCCGGCTGCCTTGCACTGGTTGCCCATCCGTTTCCACATCGACTTCAGGTGATAATGATTATATACAAAGCCCTGAACAGTTTGGGACCTCGATATTTGGCAGATCGTCTTCTTCCACCTAGATCTACCCGAATCACCCGACATAGCCAGCAGGGACGGCTGAGGGGCCTGACGCCAAGAGAGGCCCGGAA